CCCTTTTCGCATACGCACATACATTCATCACTCAAGATCGCGGCCCCTTTGACGCTTCATTTTGCTTGACATGTGCAAAATATCTCCGAATTCTTCGAGACCCGTTCTTGAGTAATCCCAGTTTCTTCGACTTCTCTTTTCTTCTTCTTCTAGAAGCTAGAGAATATAAGAACGCACCCTTAGCGTTGCTCTAGTGTGTAGATCTTGGTGTAAGCGTACAGTGTCTCAGTGGGAGTTCTGCGGTCAAGGGCAAATATTCTTTTAAGACTGGTACGGCTGGCTGTGATCAGCTGGTTGTATGAACGATGAGATAGACAGTTAATGTAGGCAGAGCTAGCATACTCAAGGGTGGATTGAATAATGGATAGATAGAAAAGACGACGCGCTCTGTGGTTCAGGTTCTGCCTGGCATGCTTGTAGGCTCCGACCTTCTGCTTGACGGCAATGCAAACTCGCTCTACTTGAGCATCGAATGCCAAGTGCTCATCCACAATGAGGCCCAGGTATTGGCTGTGTGCGCAGGATAGAGAGTGGAGTTGCGGCATGATTGAGGGAAAGAGACAAACGGGAAAAGTCTGAAGAAAAAATAATAATAATAATAATAATAATGATATAGACACAGTGGTGGGTAAGGGGCCGTCCAAGGTTACCAATAATATTAAATTTTTCAAAACGAAATGTTTTCGTTTGTGGGTGGGTGGGTTTGATGGAGTTTCGTTTTGAAAATAATTATTGAATGCTGATGGAGAATGCCCAGTTACTTCTGGGTGTCGAAAATTGACATTAATATTGTATTGGAATTCGTTTTACCTGCAGAAAAGGTGGGTGGGTGGGTGGGGGCTGAAAAATACTAAAACTTTTCGTTTTGTAAAAACAATCGGTAACCCCGGACGGCCCCTAAGGGACTAGTTGGGCGACGTAACAGCAGAAATTGTGTCTTATCAGGGTTAAGAACCAGTCCCTTCCCCAAGGTAGCTGCCCAGAGCAGCAAGGTCCGCAGTGAGACGCTCCAACACAGTATCACAGTCACTATGCCGGACATAAAATGCAATATCATCAGCATATTCCTGGTCTTGGCTAAACCTAAAACAGGGTGTTATGTCGCGAATGTAGATACAAAACAAGACTGGGCCCAGAACGGAGCCTTGGGGCACTCCTCGGGAGCATGGGCGTGACTGTCCAAGTTCCTGACCAACTCTAACAGTTTGTATTCTGTCAGACAGGTAGCTACAAAACCAATTCAAGGCAACATCTCTGATGCCTGTGTCATGTAGACTCTGGATGAGGGCGGAGTGTGCCACTCTGTCAAAAGCTTTGCTCATGTCAGCGAAGATGACACCACAATATTCGTTGCTATCCAATGCAGAAAGCCATCTCTTCACAGCTAGAGCCAAGCAGTCTTCGCAAGAGTGGTTGCGACGGTATGCAAATTGAGAGTCTGGTACGTGTTCAATGCCATTATCTGCGAAGAATTTCATTATCTGGTCCAGTACTATTCTTTCTAATACCTTGGCACATATAGGCAGCAGCGAAACTGGGCGGTAGTTTGCCGCCAGATCAGGGTCTCCAGATTTCATAAGTGGACTTATGATAGCTTGCTTAAAGACGGTGGGGACATTACCGGTTTGGAGGGACTCGTTCACTATGTCCGTGAGGTACTCAGCAATAGCATCTCCACTATTCTTCAGTATGGATGGTAGCACGTTGTCTGGACCTGGTGATTTGCACAAATTAAGAGACTTCAGAATATCAGACACGTGTTGTACTGTCACTGGTTGGAAATTCGTGAGATGAGGTAGCTGCTCATTGTCTTCAGGTGGAATTTGTAGAACCCCAGGCCTGTTGGTGTCTTGAACAATGGCCGCAAACGTATCAGTCAGCGACGAAATTGATGCAGTGGGCTGGTTCCGGGTGGGTCTACGACCAGTCATGCCGTTAAGCAGACGCCACTGCCCTCTTGGGTCATTCCTTAGATCCTGGAATTTCTTGATTAAAAACTGTGACTTCAGTTGTCTGTTCAAGCGCTTTCCTTGACGCCTGGTTGCACGATACCTTTGTTTAAGAGCTGAGTCGTCTGGCCTACGCTGAAGCTGTCGATGTAAGTTCCTCCGTGTATGGTGCAGCTGCTGCAGTTCAGCAGTTGTCCAAGAATGCGGTATAGGTTTAGAACAGATTGGGTGTCTGACTAGCTGCACTGGAGCATGACGGTTAGTAAGGTCAGCTAGTGATGTCAGGAAAGTTTCGGCTTGAAGATCAATAGTTGCATCGTTGTAATTGACTGCCAGAAGTGCTCGGGCGTCCTCCTTGAACTTTCGGAAGTCGATTGCGGCAATACCAGGTTTTCTAATACTGCGATAGGCGTGCTTTTGAATGCGGTGCCAGCTGCGGAGATGGAGGTCAAACACTGCGAGGTGATGGTCACTAAGGTCGTCCACGGCAGTGACTGAGGGCTGCTCATGGCAAAGCCCAGCTTCCAGTAGAACCAGGTCCAGGCACGTGTTCGATGGTAGCCGTGTTGGTACTGTGATGATATTGTGCAGACAGTGCTCTGCGTTTGCGCCCACGCGCTACTGAACATGAGACTCCAGCGCCAGGTCGAGGTATAAAATAATTAATATGCTCCGCAGGCCGCGAAAGAGGGGGCCTTAAAGGGACACTCCGGCTTCATTTTCGACGCCGAGTTTTCGATGCCAAGACGAAGGTAGGTGAAAGAGAAGACCCCTCGAACAAGAACGAGTCTCCAGAAGCGATCGAGTCGAGCAGGAAGACGACTTTTGAATTATTTCGGCCGAGCGAGCGCTGATGACGTAATGAGGGATTAGCTTGCCAGTGGAAATGCATCTGCGCACATACATTTCACATACTTTTTGGCCAATTTTCAATCGAAGAAGAGGTTGTTTGCTATGTTCTCCCAACGCCGTGAGCGATCCCGTCTTCTATACCCTTCCAGGTACCCTGAAGGTCCTCCAGAGGAGAATTTATCTCCATCAAAGCGTTGTTGATCCGCTAAATTCGTCTCGAGACATATTCCCCCAGTGCAGTGCTGACTAATGTAGAATGTTGAATCTGTGATAATTGTCGACGATGGAGAGAGAGGCTGATAGCCGCTGTCGCAGGGAGAGTGAAGCTGCTGGAAGTAACAACGGGGAGCCCGTTTGTATCACCTGAACAACCAGACTTCAAAGCAGCTTGACCAAATCGGAGGGTGCCTCGTTGCTTATCGTGAATATTACACCGACATGAATTACTACAAGTATACTGGTGAGTTTTTATCTTGTTTTGTTCGTATGCTAGTACCCTGGCCTGGAGTTCTCGTTAGCAAATTCCTATTCCCTGGCGTTTTCTAAACATTCCGTGTAGGACTGAATCCGTGATCAAGTATTCCGATTTGGGTAGATGTGGAATTTGGACATGTATTTTATAAAAAGAAAAATTCTAAATAGAGCGTTTGTAGAGAAATGGTTGCCCAAATACAACAAAATTTATTCTGCAGTTCTACAACTTGTACTGAAATCCAGTCAAAGTAAAAATGATTCTTCATGACAGTTGGGGTCAATGAAATCTGATCCAGGCATAACGAATGGTGACGCCTGCCACCCCGGGAACGAATGCCCATTTGGTGGGGGATACCAAAGTACTCGAAAGTAGTGCGTGTTTCAATGTGGCATGGAAGTTTTATATGATCTCTGGTCAATGCAACATACGATAGCCATCATGAATTGCAGGCCTCAAACGCAACTCCGACCAGAATTGGCAGTTCCCTAAGTTAGATGCTTTATAATTCCATGGCCCCAGCTGTAGTTATAGAGGGTTTTTTGCACATTATTCTTATAGCCGATAGGTTTATACTGATGGCCACAAACAACGGCAGTTCAAACTTCACTGATGTGTTCATGAGCTGAGAGATTTCTCTCCACTATTTCTGTTGTGCACACAGGTCTGTCCAATATGCATTGACCGTATTGGGTATGGTACCTGCTCTGAGAAGGGAATCGCTGGAGCCACAGTCCAACTAGGCTTTCAAGAAACAGAGAAGAGACATATTTGCAAGCTGATACCTGATGAGTGATGTGTACCGACAGAATTCTCACGAGATACCTTACAGAATACGCCTGGTGTATACTTCATAGTACTCCTTCGACTACTGTCTAGAATCAAGTCGACTGAAACAAGTAATTAGTAATTAGTTCAAACAACTCTGGCTTCAAACGAGCCGTCGATTAGACAAACAAAACATTTTCTCATATACTAGAGCACTCTGGCAACTCACGACCTATTCCTAACGATTGCCACCGCTTATAAATATGTAGAGTACTGATTGGAATGTGCTCACAATCTCAACAATTCAGTGCTATAATTATTTGAACTATGTGTTCCTTCGGGAGAATGAAGTTGAAGACACCACTGCAGCTGTACTTATGGTTGATAAATATGGTGGTAAAGACACACCTGGCAATATGGCGGCAAATACACGCCTGCCCACACACGCTCTCTAGGCTGCAAAGTTCTGGCACAGAGCTCTCCTTCTCACCACCACCACCATCAGTTCGCGCCTGGCGCCTGGTCTTTACCACCATATTTATCAACCATAAGTACAGCTGCAGTGGTGTCTTCAACTTCATTCTCCCGAGTTAAGCTCCGTATGAAGACATCCGCAAGAAGAAGATTGCCTGATGAGTCCAGCGGGGACGAAACGTACGTCGCAATCGAGCTATGTCGTTGCTGTGTCATCATCTATGTGCCATGCGCTACTTGATGCACCAGCCTGCTATGCCGGATACCGCCAGCCATGCATCGACCAGGCGCCAGGCGCGAACCGGATGGTGGTGGTGGTGAGAAGGAAATAGAAATAGTGGAGAAATAGTGGAGAGAAATCTCTCAGCTCATGAACACATCAGTGAGAGAGAGAGAGAGAGATTGTTGAACGCTTAGTCATATTTTGATCGACGACGATGTCCTTGCTCGAGTATTTCAGCAAAGCGAAGTGGAAAAAGGTAGACATGGTAGAGAGTTCTGACTCTGAAACTGTTGAACCTGGAGACTCCGAGTCTGAGTCGAGTGCCCAAATTCCTTCTCCCAGTATTCCGAGTCAAGTGTCTGCAGCTGCTCCCGTTGCTTCTTTGATCTCCAGCGTGCCGTCTCCAGCTGCACCTGTTGCTTCTTCTACCTCCAGCGTGCCATCTGCAAGCTGCAACGACGTGGGTCAGTACATCGACGACATTGCCAAGGGCGTGCAACTGGCAGATGACGACAAATATTGCCTGCTGAAGCAGCATTTCTCGCCGGACGCTCGCTACGCGTTCCCAAGACACGATGGCCGAGCGTTTCAGCACCGCTGGCTTCAAACCTACCAGCCCTGGTTGGTGTTCAGTGCCACCTGTGGTGGCGGCTTCTGTTTGCCCTGCGTATTATTCGCTCGCTCATATCGTGGGTCATCGCTGGGTGTATTTGCCAGGCGACCACTGACGAATTTTCGAAAAGCTTTGGAGTTGCTGGATGACCGCATGACGAAGCAGTTCCACCGGGACGCAATAGTACGAGCGGATGGATTCTTATCTGTAATGGATGGAAAGAGAGAGAATGTCATCCAGCAAACCAGCACAGCGCTTGCAGACAAAGTGGCAGCCAACCGCAAAAAGCTGACCTCTATCATCAAAGTCATTCTGCTATGCGGACGCCAGAACTTCCCCCTGCGTGGACATCGTGACGCTGGCACTGATGTTGAGCCCGACGGTGCTGCTAACCATGGGAATTTCTGGGCTCTCGTGGATTTCCGCGTCAATGCTGGTGATTCGTGTCTTGGCGAGCACTTGTCAACTGCTCCTGCCAATGCCACGTACATGTCTGGCGACATTCAGAACCAGCTTGTCAGCATCATTGGTGACCACATCACACGGCGAATTGTTGCAAGAGTGCCAAAGGCAGCGAAATTGTTCACGGTCATCGCAGATGAAGTAACAGACGTGTCCAATAAAGAGTAGCTTGGACTCGTGATTCGCTATGTGGAGGCATCCAGTAGAATTGTTCGAGAGGACTTCGTGACGTTCGTCGAGTGCGATCAAGGTGTTACGGGTGCAGCACTCGCCAAGGTTATAGTTGAAGCTATCCAGCAGCTTGGCCTTGACCTAAGCAACATGCGGGGACAGTGTTACGACGTGTGCCAAGATGAACGTCAACCCATCTGTTCCGAGGTCATGCGGCAGGCAGACACACCGGGACAACGTTCCAGCTGACACACCATCCGAGTATTACAAGCGGTCGATCAGCATACCTCTCCTGGACCACATGGTAGGAGAGATGAAAAGCCGCTTCACAAGCCATCATCGAACTACTCTCCAGGCGTTCTGTGTGGTACCTTCGATCCTGCTCTCGTCGTCAATTGCCGAAGCAAACACAGCCATCAACAAGTTGGTTGGGACGTATTCCGTTGACTTCCCATCCGCAGCCAGCGTGGAGAGTGAGCTGCATTGCTGGCACACCAAGTGGTCGAATGTTTGGAATGAGCATGGCGAGCCTGCTATTCCGACCTCGGCTGCCCTGTCATTACCTCACGCCAGCCAGATGTTTCCCAACATCCGTGCCATACTGCAGCTGCTCTGCACTCTTCCCGTTACGTCCTGCTCATCCGAGC